TTCTTCGTAGAAATTGTCTTTTGAAAATATACTTCTGCTGATGATGGACTATTGATAGTCCGAAACATGTTCAGACACTGATAATTCAAATGACAATTGAATCAAAGTCCGTCACTCATCAAGTTCACTTCAACACGACATGTCGCAGCGACAATGGCTGCTTAACAAAATGTAATCTGTATTTCACCCCCTTTTGGGAAACAAATTTTAATATGCTCGTACTGTATTTTACCATAATTTTGTTAGCTGTAAACTGTACCAGACATATTTTTATGGACGAATTTCCCTGTTAGCCTGACGAGTACACGGAAAAAAAGGAATTGTTGAATCAAGTAAAATTTGATTGAATGAAGCAAATAAAAGTGTCATATATGCACGACAACATAAATAATCTTGAAATGAGTCAATCTATATCTTGTTTCAGAGCGAACTTGAAGTTTGAATCAAGTAAATATGTGTTGCATGAACTCTGGATCTTCTTCAATCAAGCACATCCATGAATTGTTCATGGAGGGATATTGAAATGGCTCAAACAATCATTTTGTTTGATTCAAAATAACACGATATTGATTCAATCAAATATTCAGTTGATTCAACGAAATATTGGGTTGATTCGAAGAAATATTTGGTTGATTCAATGAAATATTTAGTTGACTCAATGAAATATTTGGGTATAATTCAATGAAATATTTTGTTGATTCAAGAGAAACTATATATACATTCAACAAATTGTTTCGTTAAACCAAACTCGATTTTCGAGAATTCAATAGAATAAACAATACTAGGAAAATAGTCGACTCCTAGCATAGATATTCAGGATTCACTTCTCTTTTGCTGATGCAAAACTATTTCTGATTGCATGCTAATCATCCGAAGGTCGATTTATCCAGCTGAGATTTCAACCACGAAGAATCAGGCTTCACGTATATAATGAATTCGAGGCAGGCATAGACGAGGCAGAGTGATCGCCATCTAGAGGCGAAAATTTCAGTTGATGTAGAAGGAATAAAATATTTCATTGATATTACATATTTCGTTGCTCCATTCAAGCAAATGATCCGTTCGAAACGGGTTCATTGCTACATCGGAATAAGAAAAATTGTATGTTCTTTCATTGATATATTCTTATCAAAATGATCATTATTTGACCAAATCAACAAAATGTTTATAGTTGAATCCACATAGACATTGTTTTGGATCGACATAATTTGTTTTTGAGAAAACCATATATTTTGTTGATGGAATTGATATTATACTTTTGATTCAATTAGACTACATTCTTGATTTGAATAAGCTGCTTCCATGGAATAATCATGTATCTGGTTGATTCAACAAGAAATTGCTCAGTCCAACAAAAATAACTCGAAGAATAAATAATTTGTTGATGCAACAAATCCTTTTTTCCCGTGTATGCACTGATGATGACTTAACAGTCGAAAGCGTTCTGCTACGAATATGAATTTGAATAATTTATCTTGCACGAAATACAACACTCCCCTTCTTTGGTATATATACACGTGCATACAGCTCAGCAACCCTCACTCACTGATAATTCAGACAATGAATTTGTGGAGATGACTTACTGTGTCTTGCTTATGAATTGAATTTTTTATCAATCAGCTTGACGTGTTCCCGAATGATCTGCTCATGGAGGTGTATGTTTCCTCCTCCCAAAATATTGACAATGAAGTAGTACGAAAGTAGTTTAGCCTAGGACAAACTAGTTCATCCTATCGCTCTTCGGGTATACTGATTTAGCCTAGGAAAAACTAGTTCATCCTAAAATCGGGTTTGTCCGGTAACATATACATGGTATAACGGAATTTGATCAAAAATGTTTGACAGGTGATATACCTCGTGATTTTTCGATTACTGAGGTTTTTTCGAAAGATACGAAGTGTTGAAGTTAAGAAATAAAATTGTTTTTTCACAATAACTAAAAGACGGTGGTTCTTTGGATATATATGTATTTTTAATGACAGAAAGTGATTCTAGACATTTCATCCAGTGTAACAATACATTTCTTCCATTTTTTAACGACGATGGCGATATTTTCACATGTAATACCACTAGAGGTCAAGTTATTTCCAGAAATTTTTTCGAGCTCATCGATATTTTGAAAATTATTCAGATTATTATTGAAACCATTCATGAAGTATCGAACTTGGTTGGCTTGACACAAATCTGTGTGAGCTATAAAGATGCATGTTGTTTTAGCTCATTTTCATGTATGCGAATCTCTTATACGTGATGATGACTTGGTGTTCGTGTCCTGTCTATCATTCCACTTTACACAGGGTGAGTCAAAAGGAACTGTTCATACTCCTACCAAGAATAGATGCCCCTGAGGGAAATACCAAATGTCCATCAGAAAGTGTCTTTCTTTCCCAATATATAGGGTGAAATATGAGATTTGGCAGAAATATGTTTTGGTCATAACTTTCCAACAGCTACTTCGATTCATCTGATTGTTTCATGGAATTTTCTTCTTCTACTCTTAAATCGACTGACTAATTCACAATCGGGAAAATCCAGGATCGTTCTTGGAAAATGTTGATAGTTTAGTTCATAGCAAAAAGTTCATCCTGTATATCGTTTTTGTAAACTGTGACAGAGAATTCTCAAAGGTCATACACAAACACCAGAAATAAAATATTACAAATTTTCTTCACACTTTCACTGCAGTCACAAAAAAACTATGGATTTTATTAAAGAAAGAGAATTTGGCAAGAAATAAATTTATTTGGCAATTGATACTCCGCAAGCCATATAAGAAGGAGTCTTATATTTTCAATGTTTCAGCTCAATGGAAGTCAACACATTATTTTATATTCAGGCTTGGATTCAGTAATTGGATTTTCTGTAAGAAATAATAATTACCCTGTAGATCTTTTTCGAATCAATGGATGGGGTATCTGTGAAAATTTCGATGGCTATCGCTAAATAGTAATTTTCCTAACAAGTGCGGAAGGTGATTCTTTCCCGCCCGCGACTGCCGTTGACACGAACGACGCGTAGCGGAGTTCGGGCAAGCACTCGAGTGCGGAAAAGACACTTTCCGCATGAGTTAGGAACAATATTTTTCTACAAGCGAAGGAAATTGATTGATTCGGTCAATTAATTATTCATTCATATAGGAACAACTAACAAACGAAATATATTCTCTATCTACTGATTATTTGTAATAGCTATTGTAAACTTACAGTTTGACGCATTATGTATAGATTCATTGCGGAAGCCAGCAGGCCCATAAGTATAAGGTATTTGGTCTCTAGGTTTCAGACACTTCTAGGAAATGAGCCAAAAATACTTCTTCTCCATTCGGTATTTTCATTTCTTTATTGTTGCACCATTCAATTAAACGCGTGTATAGCTTCTCATACCTTTCTTAAGATTTTGTTGGCAATAACGCATCTGTATCGCATCCGTATAGCTGGAAGTTTTTGATAATATTGTGGCAATTCCACTGAATCGAAAATGACAGTAACGATGTGTCTGTCACTTCGACAATTACAAACTAATTTGAGGTTTGATTGGCATGACAACAATAATCGTTTCCCATCATATGAATCCAAATCTATAGGGGGATTTTTATAATAATCAATTTTTATTTTTCAATATTTTCACAATAAATAGTGCAATTTGATGGACGATTCTGAACATACATACCTACTCAATACTGCAACAAACAAACTCAAACTCTCATATTCCATCACCTACCACTTATTTTTTGCCATATTGTCATATCTTTGTTTTTCCCGCAATATTGCGGGGAAATGACACTTCCCAAACTAAATTGCGTGCGGGTATAGGGTGAATCACGCACGCTTGTAGAAAAAATAATTTTATGATTTCAATTCACAGTCTCATCTATTCGATTTGTTTTATTCAGTTGATTGGTCACTTACTTTCCGTACTAGAAATATTATCCGCCTCTGTCAGTAAAGCTCTTGAAAATCATTGTGAATAAACCTTCATTCTCTGTTCGACTATCTTGAATTATTTGTATCGATGACCATTTACATCTGAACAGATCCCCATCTACTGATCTGATAGAGAACTAAAGGGTGATTATTACCCTCCGAAAAAATTTAATGACGAAATCCAGGCCTGGAAATGAAAGAATATGTTGATTTCCATTGGGCTAACGCATTGAAAATGTGCGTCTTACTCTAATTCGTTAAATTTCTGCGATGCGTAGTAATTATTTTCGAATGAATAAATTTTTTATATAAAACCTTTGTTTTTGTTTATAATTTATCATTTTTTGAAAAATTCTGTGAAAGTATGAGGAGAATTTTGAATATTTTATTCTTCATGCTTGTTTGTGTGGTTTTGAATTTTCCTCTCACAGTTCATACAAAAACCATATACAGTATGCATTTTTTGATGGAAACTAGACTATCAAAACTTTTCGAAAACTGTCCTGGATTTTCCCGATTCTGGAAATATCAGTCGATTAGGGTTCAGTAGAGGAATATTTCATGGAAAAATCAGATGAATCGAAGGAGCTGTTGAAAAGTTATGCCCAAAAGATGTTTTTGCGAAATCTCATAAATGGTATGGTGATCAGGTTGTACTGCAAAATACAAAAATGACCTAGAAAATGGATTGGTGCAAATGTTGTATCAGAAACCTTTCGGCCATTTGCGATTGAAACTATGAAATATCAGATTTCAGAAAGATACTCAAAACACATCCATTCTTCAATCGCTCACGTCCAGATAGCACAAATACCTTTTGAGTCCCTTCTGAGGAGTTTACAATAATGTCCTCAGGGCGTCAAGGGCATGCTTGAGGACTTTCTCAGAACGTCATCCTGTTACCGATCTCTGCATCCTAATAACGTCTCAGATATAGACGGGAAGAAGACAATTTCTGATGGTCATTATAGGTATCCCCCTCAAGGGCCTCTATTCGTGTTAGGAATATGTACAGTTCCTGATGACTCACCCTGTATCGCAGTTGTACAACTGATTAACGAATGAATTATATTCTAGGAAATTCCATACCCACATCCTCCAATTTGATGGTACAGGCCTATGGGAGTTCAACAGGTTGAACCACATCAGTCGCTTGGACTTGAAAAAAGAAAAAGACGAACTATTGAAAAAAGAAGACAGCATAGACAGAACACAAAGACTAGATGAACTAAATAAATTACTTGGTGAAGAGCTATGAATTTCCTGTATGATATCTGTTTTTTATTGTTAGGAAGTAACGTTCGGTGATTATTTTTTAGTCAGTTGTTATTTGTTCGCATCACGTCTACAATCGTAAGCAAATGTGATTTTATGTATTACATATATTTTTATCATGTAGCTTGTACTCAATTGAATTCCTCTGAGTGAATCCTCAAGAATACTATTCGTGGAATTGAAGATTTTTCATTTTATAAAGTTGGGAATCTCACACATATTCATATAAATGTTGACGAGTGTGAAAGCAACAACGGTTTTTCTGGCAACGGTCTTTCAAATTTACTTATATGGTATATGAAGTAAGGACTTTTTCAATTGTGGAATTTTATTTATGCGAGTCCACTAATTTGAAGGAGTTGAATCAGGCTACTAACACTAAAATATTTTGTGATTTTCAAACCACCCCATAACTAACTCACAAAACAAAAAAATTAGGAGAACAGTTGGGAGATCTCTTGATCGCGATCTCCATAAAATGAAATGATTTGTGAACCAGAAACTACTAATTAACAACCCTCCGGGGTACAAACATCTGAATTCTGTTGAAATTCCCGTTGCCTGATGTTTTTTCATACAAACAGATAATTGTAGACCTGCTGAATACACTCTTTCGTGAACCAAAAACTACCCCTCCATAACCCTCCTAAGTGGAAAATCATGAATCAGTTGAAAATTTCTGTTGAACGAGATTAATTTATAGAAATGGATTATTCTAGACCTGCTAAATACGCCCTATGAGGTGAAATAATTTGTGAATCAAAAACTACCCTTCAAAAACCCTCCGAAGTAGACAATCTTAAATCAGTCGGAATTGCCGTTACTCAAAGTTTTTCGATGGAAATGGATTATTTTTAATCTGATGAATACGCTCTATGGGGTGATATGATTTGTGAACCAAAAACTATTCCCCCACAACCCTCAGAAGTATAAAAATCACAAATCACTTAGAATTCCCGTTGCACGAAATTCAATTATGGAAATGGATTATTATAGACTTGCTGAATACGTTCTATGGAGTGAAATAATTTGTGAATCAGATACTACCACTCAACAACCCTCAGAAATAAAAAAAACATAGAACAGTCCAAAAACGAGTCGAAATTTCCGTTGCTCGAAGTTTTTTAATGGAAATGAACTATTCCACACCTAATGAATGAGCTCTATGGGGTGAAATAATTTGTGAATCAAAAACTACCCCTCAACAACTCCTCGAAATAAAAAAAACATGAAACAGTTGAAATTTTGGTTGCTCAAGATTTTTTGATGAAAATAAATTATTCGAGAGCTGCTGATTACGATCTATGGGGTGAAATAATATGTGAACCAGAAACTACCCCTCAACAACCCTCCGAAATAAAGGAATCATCAACCAGTTGAAATTTTGGTTGCTCAAGATTTCTCGATGGAAATCAATTATACAGGGTGAAATTAAATAAGTGTGAAACATTCAAGAGGGTGATTCTTCATCGAAAAAAAGATGAGATCTTCCATATGAAGAAACTTCATTAGAGCATCCCGTGTTGAGATACAGCCCCTTGAAGGGGGTACACAAAATTTGTTTGACAATTTTTTTCACGAGCACTAGCAAAGTTACAGTATCGAAATTAACCTGACATTTTCTGCTACCAAAAAGATACTTAGCCAGTAATTTATTTGGTTTACCCCATTGTTGTAAGGGATGGAAAACCTAACCCCTAAATTTTATTTCCAATGTAACTTTTTGTCTTATCATTTTTTTACCATTCATAAATTCATTTCCGATAGCCTGTTTCATCCTAAACAAAAAATGTTCCTTGAATTCTTTGCCCAACATGCACCAGCTCGCAGTAAAAAATTATTTTTCGAACAACTACAGAGATACATCGTCATGAATGCAAACTGGATTTATTGTTATTTTGTAGTCACTACCTGCATTAAATGGTTAAAGGGGAATGAACAGAACTAATTCATTAATAACGAAACATACAACATGTAGAAACCATAGTTTATGTTCAATAAGTCTACCTTCAGACATTACGCATATGTCTAGACGTCTTCACATTGAGTCACGTATTCGCTCGAATATTCCTGGAGTCTCTCTTAATACTCTACACCCATCGATGATGAGGTTTCTCAAGTCCTCTACAGGAGTACGATAAACCAAATACTGTCACGGATGGGACCTCAGTATATCAGAGTCAATACATTTTCAGGTCCAGGTTATTTCAAAAAATCAAACAATTAAATTAATTCACCTCAAATAAATCGAATGCGTCAACAAGAATCGAACGGTTTGCAGAACATGGAATTGATCATTGAACTCAGGAGTTTCACGACCTGGCACCAATTTAGGTAATTTTGAGAAGTTTTAGCGAACAGAGCAAATCGTTTGCAAATAAGTACGAACCACACTGTGACCGGAGGACAGTCAAAATTCAGCCTAGAAACTTTCCAAATTCAGTCTACATCTTTTCCAATAGTAATTCAGAAAGCGTCAAATGCAATTCAGACAATATCATTTGTAATTCAGATTAGTTAATCGAAATTCAGAAAATATCAAATGTAATTCAGAATCAATTTATATTCAGAATGCGTCATTTTTAATTCAGATTAATCAACTGAAATTCAGAAAGCATCAGTTAGAATTCAGAAAGCGTCAATTGAAATTCAGAAAGCGTCATTTATGATTCAGAATGTATCATTTGTAATTCAGAATGGGTCAATTGTGATTCAGACTATGTCATTTGTAATTCAGAATAGTTTATTGAAATTCAGGAAGCATCATTTGAAATTCAGATTAGTCAATTGAATTTTAGAAAATATCAATTGTAATTCAGATTAGTCAATGTACATCTCATTGGGGCAATTTCGGCAGCTGGGGTAGTAACTATGGAAAGAAGGAGCGGATCTTTCAAGACCGAAACTGCAAATGCTTGGGTAGCATCTCAACAATGACAAGAACTATGAAACCAGCTTGCGGACTTGTTATAGTGTGCGACAATGCTCCTTGTCATTCCCGACTGGAGAACTTTGTGAATGAAACGACTGCACATCTTTTGGGATTGGCTCCATATTCTCCAATGCTGAATCCTATTGAAACCATCTGGTATAAAATTGAGACATACGTGTAAGTGAACCTTCGTACTCCAAAAGTTGCCGGCCCTGGTGTCTTTGAACAAAAACTTTTGTTCCTCGAAAGAATTATTGACCAGGCAAAGCAGACAATTGTTGGAGGAGACTGTGCTCGAGCAGCACAGCATAACACGATTCACCATGCTGCTGCTTTTACTTCACATAAAAAAAATGCCCGTAGGTCGCTGAATGATGGATACTTTTATTGTTACCTGCTATGTCTCAATTCAATCCAAATATTATTCGTTTTCATACATTCCTCGCTTATAGTTATTGTATTAGGAATAAGTCTGATGAAAACAAACTTGTGTTGTTGTATCCCACATAATATAATTACTGATTATAGATTTCGAGGTGAAAAACAACTGCTGTCTGAATTCCAATTGACTAATCTGAATTACAATTGACGATATCTGAATTTCTATTGATGCTTTCTGAATATCATTTGACGAATCTGAATTACAATTGAATTTTTCTGAATTTCACTTGACTAATCTGAATTTCAATTGATTTTTTCTGAATTTCAAGTAACTTATCTGAATTACAAATAACGTAGTCTGGATCACAATTGACGCATTCTGAATTACGAATGATGATATCTAAATTTCAATTGAAAAATCTGAATTACAATTGATATTTTCTGAATTTCAGTTGACTAATCTGAATTACAATTGATATTTTCTGAATTTCAATTGACTAATCTGAAATACAACTGACGTTTTCTGAATTTCATTTGAGAAATCTGAATTACAATTGACGCTTTCTAAAATACATCTGGAAAAGGTGTAGAGACAGTCGAAACTGAGTCATTGAGTGGTGTTCGTATCGAAATAATCCCCCCGGCGAGCATGTTAGCAGTACTGGTAGCAATGTAAGTACCTCTATCATTTGTTTTCCATATTAATTGGCCCCATAGTTAGAGAAAATAGTGATCAGTTTGGACGCTGCTAATCTCGTGCTCTCGTTATTTATTTGCTGCAACTCCTCTATATGGTCAGATCACCTCTCGCATTGCCATTACGACCCCCAATAATCTATACCTCACAGCTCGGCATGTCCCATAAGGGAACGTAGCTGGAGGTGTAACTCATCACGGATGAGTCAGCAGCCTCAGAGGGTAGGAGGAATCGTACTCACCCCCGTGGTACAAAGGTAGGAAGTATCATTCTACCGTGACGTAAGGTGGAGGCCGCAAGTTAACTCCGTGACATATGGTGGAGGCGCCTTGTCTCGAGTCCCTTAGGTTTTATTCTTCATAATGGACCTGATAATAAGTGTTAAGTTTTCACTTAAAATAATTAATTAGGGAACTTCTATTTTCGTCAAATCGATGTCTGAAAAACCTTGCCGAGCAGAACAGGACCCACGAAAAACTGGACAACAGCAGTCTCGCTAGAACTCCGCTCGACATTGTTTACGATATACGTCGATAGTGATTTTCGCGTCGAATTTTCTATTCTCTGTGTTTAATGGAGAAAATAAACGGGTTGCGCATATAGGAAATTTTCGCCCATTTGTGAGTGCCTCCAGAATTGGATTAATCCACGACACCAACCTAGTCCAGAAGGGAGCCCCCATAGATACATTACCGGCATCCAGCTACCAGGCCATCATCACCAACTCTCAAGAAGTTAGGTGAGCTGTTTAGGGGCTCGATCTCTGAAGTAGAAGTTAATCTAAACCTCACCGGATTGCATCTAGGTATGATTATAGACTTCATTTACCGCTTTTAACGCGCCTTTGGTGATACATACATTTTTTCTCTTCTAAGTAGAGTTTTCGAAGTAGAAAAAGTACAATAAGTCAGTAGGTAATTCAGAAGTAGGTCAATTTTATTTTCTCATTTATTTCTCAGTTTTATGAATAATTCAAAGAAATTGCATTATCATATGGTTAGGGAATATAGGTGAATTAAAAAACAAGAATAGGAAAAGGCGTGCTTGTGCTGTCAATGACGAGTTACCTATTCAACTCCGTACTGAGTTAATAGTCAACAAATGTCATAGCACACAAACAAGCTGTGTACAGGGTGTCCGCTAAAACGAGGTCAATCCATTTACCA